CTGAAAGCCCTGCTGGCATGCTAGATGAGCTACACTAGGTAACATCAGGTCAGAGCTGCAGCAAGTGACCTCCAAGTAGCAGAGATGGAAGCTCCAGTGGGAAGCACACAGGGAAGGCAGAACTATTGCCTAAACATCAATGGGTGTCCAGAAAACAATAGGACTCTTTAAAATATAAATATACTGATGGATCAGAGACTAGACATCAGAGAAACAGAAGGGATCTGATGTGCAAGCTGTTTGAGACTGTCCAGATCTGCCCTTTGGCGGAAAGAGGCCAGAGGCCTGGTCCAGTTCTAGAACTGTTGTACTGACACCTGAATTTAAGGCGAGGGCATGGGAGGATCTTTTCTTCTCCTCATAAACACTAACACTTTTCTGGAGAAGCATGAGATGGAGCATTCTGTTTCTTGGGTTTGTCCTGACTCCAGTCAGCACTGGAAGGAGAAGAATGAAAATCCAGTATTGTACATTGATGATCACACTGAGAGATCTGGTTCCTGGTAACTGATGCACACAGGGGAGGCAGGGAGAATCACATCAGAGACCATTGTCTGTCTGTTTTGAGACATTGATTTTGCAAAATGCTGCCCTGTGTGCTGGCTTCCCACATGGCGTAACATAGGGCAGCCCCTCTGTTCAGACTGGGGCTGACTGCTCTGCAGTCTCCACTCATGGGCTACCCATAAAATGTTTCATTTCAAGTAGGAAAACAGAAGAAAGGGAACTTAGTTCTCTAAAACAGTCATCAGATACTTCCTGATGGAGCCTTAAAAACAAAAGAAAGTTGTCCATTCCTTTCTTCTAATACTAAAGGAAGAATAGAATGAATAATACACTGAGACACGCGATAACAACAGTCTGGGGAAAGGAGCCGTCAGTACTGGGACAGGCATTTAAAATGATTGCAATTTAGCAACCTAGCACCAGGTTGTGTCTCTGGGGACTCACAGTCTATTTGCAGTTCTGCCACTTCACACACTGCTGTTCCCACAGTTCACACACTGCTGTGTGACCTCCAGCAAGTCCATTAATCTCTCTTTAATAGGTCGCCTCTGGCACTTTTCCTATCTTTTCTATTAGATCACAATCTGTATTTCCCCCCCCCCCCCCCAGCCACAATCTCTTGGAGCACTTAAAACAGTAAGTCCTGCACTCAAAACAGTAAGTCCTGATTCTGCATGGGGCTTCTTGTCACAGCTGCGAGGTAGACGGCAGAACTAGGCAGTGACTGGGCCTTTGCAGAACAATGCTTTCAACATACCGATGTGCCACAACCAGCTACAAGCTTGCAGGCTGCACCTCATCTAAAGCTCTCTGCTTGCCTCAAATCAAAATGCACCATCTGTACAATGGGCTCTGAAACCCCCACCTGCCCTTGGGCAGCATAAGGAAGGCTCAAACACAAGCTGTTTGAACAAAGGGTGCTACAGCAGCTGCAAGCACCATTAGCAATGAGACTGCTCTCCATGTTCAGAATGAGATCCCGTAAATCTCTTCCTGGTTCTGAGCAGCTGCTTGTCTGGTTATGGTGTGAAGCCACTTTGCCGCATGTGGCTGAGAAAGGTCAGGATGTGCACAAACACGACACTACACTGTGATGTGCATGTGCACACCACAGCACGCAGACAAAGGGAAAGAAAAAGGGAACAGATCCTGCTCTCCCTTTCAGCACAGTAACATGTGGTAACAGAGTTCTGGCTTTATGTCAGCATAACAGGGAACACAATTTGGCCACAAGGGATTCTGAATCAGGCAGCCTGAAACAAGAGATACATTGAGATTTTACAGAGTATGATGTTCAAGAAAGCCCTGAGTGTGTAGACTTTTAGAAAAATAAGGTTAAAGGAGGCTCCTCTGCTTTAGAGCTTAACTTTGAAATGATGCAGTCTACCTTTTTATGACTTACACAAAAGGTATTACTGTCTTAACAGCCTGTCTATAAAAATGCATTTACTCTTTACTTTCAGCAAAAGCTTAACTTTGACTTCACCACAGTTCTCTTGGATTAAACATTCTGGAGAAGAAAGGATTTTTTTATTTTTTTTCCCTTTAGCAATCTGTTTCACTCTGTATACAAGAGTACAAGACAGGAGAATCATGATGGCTTTGAGGAATTCCTCTTTTGGAAGCGATGCTACAGACAAATTTGGGATCCTTCCAAATAACAAATGAGCAGTATTAAATTGTGATTATTTGCTGAGATCACCCAGTGCTTCAGACTTGCACAGTCACATCCAGCTGGCCTGAGCCTTGCGATCTCCGTGAACCTGTTGAGCAGCCCTTGCCCATGCAAGCAGCCCAAGGCTTGCCCCTGAGAAGCTTAGGATGCACAAGCAATCTGTGTGCTGCCCCTGTCAACCTCAGTGTGGGCACATCAGCAAGGCGGCTCCCTGAATAATAAACAACACCTTGCAGCTCTTAATGCTGGCACCAGGCTATACCAAACCTGACTGAATTCTAGCTTTTTGTGGCAACTCAATAATTACTGTGTATGGGTGTGTGTGAGGGGGTGCTGTTTTGTTTCAAAGTCTACTTTTTCAAGGATTTGGAGAGATATAAAAACTGTAAGCGAAAACCAAGAGAACACTCTTTGGTAATTGTGGGGCTATTTCCAAGGCTCTTTTTTTTCTAGCCATGTGATCACAGTGTACAATGAACATTTTGGGTGAGCAAAACAGTAGCGACATTGTTGTGCCCCCATGAAAGCTGGCTGCTTCTGTCCAGTCACTTGATTTCATTCTTTTCAAGTAAAAAAAAATGTAACAAGTATAGATGAGCTGTGGATAAGTAGGTAAGTTACTTGTTAGAGGAAAGTATTTTATTCCTAAAGCATTGCTTCCTTTTGTCATTCCTATATTCAAGAAGAGAAAGGGGGAGATCCAAGGAACTAGATGCTAGTCATCCTGACCTTGATCCCTGAGAAGGGGAGGGAGCAAATAATTCTGGGAAACATTTCTAAACATATGAAGGACGAGAAGGTGACTGGGAGTAGACAGATTTATGAAGGGAAAATCATATTTACCCAGACTGATAGCCTTTTATGGCAAGATGGTTGAGGTAGACTTGGACAAGGGGAGAATAACAGATGGTGTTTGTGTTGACTTGAGGCTTTTGACACTGCCTCTCATAGATTCTCACAGACAAACAGAAGAACAGACTAAATAAATGGATGGTGGAGTGGACTGATAAATAGGTGAACTTCTATGCTCAAAGGGTTGTGTTCAGCAGCATAATGTTCTGCTGGAAGCCAGAGCCTAGTGGTATACCCCAAGGGTCAGCACCACATCTTCATTAATGACATGGACGATGGGGCAAAGGGCACCCTCAGCAAGTTTACAGCTAACACAAAACTGGGAGGAGTGGCTGATGCACCAGAAGGTTGTGTTGCCATTCAGAGGTACCTGAACAGGCTGGGAAAGTGGGCTGGCAGAAACCTCACAAATGTCAACAAAGGGAAATGAAAAGTCCTGCACGTGGGAAGGAACAACCCCATACACCAGTATGCACTGGGGCCAACCAGCTGGAAAGCAGCTTGGCAGAGTAAGACCGTAGACACCAAGTTCAAGTCCATGATGGACCCTTGTGGCAAGGAGCACCAACAGCGTTCTGGGCTGCATTAGAAGTGCTGCCAGCAGGCAGGGAGGAGATCTTTCCTTTCTTCTCAACATTAGTGAGACACATTTGCTGTGCTGGATCCAGTTCTCAGCTCCCAAGTACAAGGAAGATAAAGACTTACTGGAGAGCGTCTAGTGAAGGGTTGCAAGGATGATTTAAGGGACTGTAGCATCTGATGCACAAAGAAAGAATGAGAGAGCAAGGACTGTTCGGCCTGGAGAAGACTCAGAGGCATCTTACCAGTGTGTATAAAAACCTGATGAAAGAGTATAAAAAAGGTGCAACCAGACTATTCTGAGTTTTGTCTATTCAAGGACAATAGGAAATGCATACAATTTAAAATACAAGAAAAATACAAGAAATCATTAAAATCTTTTTTTTTCTTTTTTTTTTTTTTTTTAAACCATGAAGGTAGTGAAGGTGGTTAAGCACTGGAACAGGCTGCTGAGAGAGGCATTGGATTCTCTAACCTTGGAGGTATTAAAGACACAAATGGACATGGTCCTAAGTGTCCTGTTCTAGCTGGCCACTCTTTGAGCAGAGGTTTGGGGACTAGATAATTTCCAGAAGTATCCGTCAACCCCAACAATTCTGTGATTCTACATTCTTAACTTTGCAATCACTCAGTTATAGTAAAGAAGAATCTCTCCCACACTGCTACATGAGAGTGGTCCAGCTTAACAGCAATAAAAACAGCAGCTTCCCTCTGGAATTTCATGGCATCTCTTGCTCTTCTCTCTCAGAAGGGAGCTTCCAACAGCCTAGTGTATAGCGATTGTCTGATTTATTATTTGGGAACTACCAGGAGGTTTCACTGGTGTTGGGTAGATTTTCTCATACAGAAAAGCTCTGCAGTGTTTCCTGATGATGGTCAGGCTCTGAAATAGCCCAGTTATTTAACAGCTTCCTTCATCTTTCAGTGTGTTAATGGCTTAGGAACACTAGCATTTTTCTTACTAAAAGCCCTAGAGGCTTCCTTCATCCTTTACATCCCACCTATGTATTTACCCTATCTTATTAAAACAGTATCATTCTCCTTATTTGGAATATATTCAAGTGCATAAAAACACCATATGCTCTAGTGAGCTAGCTTATTTCAGCACAGACTGCTGCCTTTAAGGAAGAAATGGAAATACCTGTCCTCCAAGAGATATGGAATGTATATTCACAAGTAATTGCCATTACCCCCAAATCAAAACAAAGCAAAACTACTTGTTTCTTCAAAACCAATCCACAGAATGTGGTGTGGGTTGTGTTTTTTTGTTTTGTTTTGTTTTGTTTTTGTTTTTTGATAGATCTAGCCAGTCTATATAAAAGCCTTTGATAGAAAACAGATATGTGTATAAATAAATAAAAGTAATGCAAACAAATGTAGGACTTACGTATGATCCATAATTCACTGCTAAGGTCTGCAAAGCCCATGGGAGACCTAGGCCAATTAAAATATCAAAAACATTGCTTCCAATGGAGTTGGACACAGCCATATCCCCCATACCTGCAAGAATGGAAACAACCAAAAATCAGAAGTCTCAGAAAGACCCTTATGCCATCTTCTACACAATTCTACAACAAACGTATTTAAATCTTATAAAACAATAACAACACCAACAACACATCCCTGCTTTTTTGGGAAGCTTTGGAAGTTGGCAACGGTGCCAAAACTTGTTCCACACACTCATTAAGAATCTGTTAGCTGCTTTGCAATAGCAACAAAATTCTTTTCCGCCTTTGAGCTTGCTTTAAAGTTCAGCCTAAGGGAAAGGGCTATGAAAGTTTTCACATCCAGGATACACCTTTGCTACCTAAAGAGGACAAGGACACACAGAAACAATTCAACAGTAGCCTGACATCTCTGTGACGAACATACCTTGCCTTGCTACGATAAGGCTTGCCATGCAGTCCGGCACACTGGTTCCAGCTGCCAAGAAAGTGATGCCCATTATCACATCTGGAATTCCCAGTGTGTAGCCAATGATTGTCACCTAAGGAGAATTAAACTGTCAGGTGGTCTACAAAGCTTAAAATCAGAGGCCAGCTTGGCCTAATTCTGCAAGATGCTGTGAGACAATGTTTATTGCTCAGTGCAAACTGACACTTTCTCTAAAGAGAAGCAATGACAGTTTTTTTTTTTGTTGTTTTTTGTATATTCATCATCTAGCAGAGGATAGCACTGACCTACTACATACTCTCTTTGATTAGGTGACTAGGTGCTTTACAACTTTCATCCACAATGTTCCTAATGCTAACCTGGAGAAGAGGCTATATGGTGGTCACTACCCTGTGTAACAGTCTCCTGATATTGTCTGGAGCTCATTGACATTATTACATAGAAATAATAGCTAAGACGATACCAAAACAACCCCAACATTCATTACATTATGAAAAGGTATATACAAAAAAAACAAGCCACTGCAAACAATTCCTATTGGCACAGAGGAGATACCTTTAATTTCCTTTGTTCCTTTGCAATAGAGTCTATGATTGATTAGCACTCTTTGATCTGATATAGATTTTAAAATTTCGGATGCTTTTGTTTAATGATACCACATTTTCTATTAGCCATATTTAATTGCACAGCAGAAAGAGAAAAGCTTAATCAGAGATAATGCTTGCCCTTCTGAATTCTCTACAGCATACTTCAAGAAATGTGAACCATAAAGCATGAGAAGCAGAACAGTGACCCTGTGGGTTCTGGTATTTCACCTATGGAAAGGGGGGATAGCTTTTTCTTGAAAAACATCTAATCCTCACAGATGAAAAGCAGAAGAAAATATGTAACTTTCTATTTACTGTCCAGGGTAGCATGGGTTATTGAAAACAAAACCAAATAAACTCTCTTCTGTAACTGGTTTGATTAGTTCCTAGGGAAAACCCCAGCATTCATTCTTGCACTTAGTACAAGAACAAATCGTGAAGGTAGAGGAAAAGTTTTATTGTCTCCCTCCTCCCAGTGGGAAAGCTGTGGCCACTGCTTTAGTGAGGTATCTCCATGCTCCTCAGGTGCCACACTGAGACAGATCATGAGTTGTGCACTCCATCACAAGAGCAGCAGCCAAATCCAGGCTTCCCTTACTTTCCTGATGCCAGTGCCTTACCATCGTCTAATTCTTCTTAAGAGTATAGACCACCTAATTTCTCTCAACTGACAAAAATCAATTTTGTCGCCTTCTCAGGCTGTGCTTTCTGCTTTAGTGGCTACATACCATCCACACCATCATGTACGAGAAAGCTGCAATCCAGAGGGTAGAAGAAGCAAAAGTAACCATGAACCATTTTTCCAAGTGGGGTTTGTTACAGTTGGGCACTGTGAAATACAGGACAAAACTCAATGGCCATGTGAAGAGCCACTTCAAGACTTCTGTTTTGCCAGCTGTAAAACAAACGTGAAAGAACCATGATTCCAGCCTGTTTTAGTTAATTGTAACAAACAAGAAGCCAGAGCTGCCTCAGCCCAAGGTCTAATTGAACAGATAATGACACTTCATGTTTAGAAGACCACAGCATGAGATCAAAGGCGGGAGATAGGAAGGTAAAGAAGGGCACAAGGAAGGAGTATGCAGTGCATGCCCTTGAAATCCAGTGAGTGTGATAAGCAGTGAGTCAGAACAAAACTGCTACACTTTCTGTTTCTGTTCCTGCAGGTGCCACGTAAGAACCAAGTTCTAGAAAGAGATATGATCCGTCTTCAACTGCTAAACAGGAAGGTACAGAAAAGATGGAGCCAGGCCCTCCTTATGAGTGTACAAGGAAATAGTGAGAGACAATGGACCCAACTTGCAACAAGGGAAATTCTGAATAGTTACTACCATAGTAGTACCACTGACATAGGAGCACACCTTATTTCCCAGCAAAGATAAAGCCTAGGCTGAGATGCATCTGACCTGTTTTCAGGCAGCTTGCCAGTGGCCCCACCATCCTTGGCTTCCTCTGCAGCCAACGGGGAGTGGTAGTCCTCTCCAGAGAGTGACCTGGATTTTGGGGCAGAAACCCCCTGGCCGAAATTGCTGCCTCTCACCACTGACTGCAGCAGCAGCACTGGACAGCTGCAGGGCCAACACATAAGCTGCGGCCAAGGTGCACCTGAGCCCAGCGGTCTGCATCCAGAGAAGTTCCTGCTATTTTCCAATTCATCTGTTACCTGTGACCAGGAACTAAACTGCAAGGTAAAGGCTGACGGGAGCTGTCACAGAGACACTTCTACCCCAACATGCACCTGTAATGTTTTCTGGCACAGTCAAACCGAGTTTTGTTTTCTGGAACAACACAAATGCATGAGCTTCTTACTGGGTAGGTCAAAAGGTGTGTATGGCCCTTCATGGTCATCATTGTCATCATCTTCATCCTCTTCCTCATCATTTTCGTTGTTCTCATTATCCTCATTCTCATTTTCTGTTTCAGTGCCAGCCTCAGCCGTGTCCTCCTCTCGCCGTGTGCTGTTCATGCTCCGCTCAGCTGAGTTGCTTGGGCCTGTTCCATTCTCTACCACATGCTTGATCGGTATTTTGATTGCTACTTCTGATTCACCATTGGTGTAAGTCCTGCTGTTTATCAGTCTTTGTCTCTGTAAATGCAGGAAAAAAATCTTGCTCAAAGACAGATTCTTTTTAATTAATTAATTTGTTTATTTATTTAAAGAGAAAAATGTATTTATTTAAAGAGAGAAACAGAGAGAGATGTGCAGAGTTTTTTAAACAAATGGTTTTAAAAGGGATGAATTTTGATCATGCATAATGCAATGGATGCTTGAAGACAAATCTCACACAGATACAACTTTAAGAAGAGAACGAGCAGTAGATGTAGAATTGACTACAGGCATAAAACAAGACCAGGGTCAGATTCAGTGTAGTACTATGTTATAAAATAAGTGTAAATGATGCTAACATCAGATCAATGCTGGGGGCATCTGCAGTGAGCAACAGCTACAGGAAGCATAACCACGTAACAACCACATTAACTTTCCTAGAATCCCCACATGTACAGATATCAAAGGATGATTTAATCATTCTCAGAAGGATGAAATCTGGAAAAATGCTATCAGGGATCCAGAAAACTACTGAGGTCCATTTTGACCTGAACAGTGTCACAGGAAAGGGAAAAATCAGAATGAGAAAGAGGGGGAAAAAAAGATAACAGACATACCTCATTGATTAGCATGCGGCTAGCCATGGAAAGACGTGTTTTTGGGGGAAAGTGGCTGGTTATCATGATCCGGAGCCCAGCCTCAGAAAATGAAAGCTGGTGTGGGTAAGCAGACAGCAGCTCATCCACCATGATCACTGAGGCTTTACGGTGGAAATTCCCTGCAGCCAAGAAATGAAGAGAAGCTGAGGCCATTGTTCACCACCAGCCTCTCTCTCCACCCTATGTGGCTCTTGGCAGAATAAATCTGCGGGTTCCAGAGCTCCTTCCTAAGAACCATTTCTTCAGCTACTGCCTCCTCTAATTTTAATTTCTGTCTTTACATGGCAGGTTTTATCAATAAATCATCAACATGGTACCGCCACACATGATGTTATTAGAAAAGTAAATCTACTCTGCACAGTTCATCATAGGCTTCTGTTAAGTGGATTGTTGCTTCCACACCATTGAGGTCGAGGTGGTGCTGCATTAATTCCACTATTAAAAACTGCACATGTGCAAGGATATTGGCCTCATCCACCACTGACGGCACACTGGGTGAGAAAACTGTCACTGTGTTCTTGCAGAGTACCAGTGTAAACAAAAGCAGGTTCCTGCATCCCAGCTTGCAGTTCATTGCTGGAAGCTGCCATCAAATCTGGCAGCAAACACAGATGCCAGTCCGTGGGGTGCAACCCACAGCATGAGAGCAAAGAGCAGATGCGCTCCAGCTGGGGCACAGCACCAGCATCTGCCACCTCTGTGTGACAGGCCCAGACTACTTGGGTTGTAAATCCTGGGCCAGGACTGGGACTCAGCAGTAGGGAAACCCAAGATCTTCCCTGCACAACTGTGCTCAGCACTGGCAGGTGTTTGATGGTGTCAAACACTTGGTGATTGGTCACTTGGATGGTGATTGCTTATCACCATCCCTGTTAGTCTTAGAGCAGAGTATCTCCTCAGCCTTAGGGCCACTTTCTTTTTCTGAGGAGGTTTTCATGGATGGTAATAGACATGTGGGGCCACCTATATTCATAAAAATCAAAATAGCCAGATAGCTTTTCTTAATGACTTTATCAAACTGGCATGTCCTATGTGGTACAGAATCCTTTCTACTTGATTTTTTTTGTCCTCTGTTCAGAAAATTAGGAGCTCAGAAAGCAAACAGTACTGGTGGAAACCCTCAACACTCCGGCCTGCTGAAATCAGGGCTGTTTGCGACCCCTCACTACTGCTGGTGTGCACAGCAGTACCACCTGCCTATCTGAGCCTGGTGGCCTGCTGCCAAGTAAACACAGGAACAATCCACAAGAAAATGAAGCAATACTTTGGTCTTCCTTCCTCAGCCAGTTTGAGTAAATGCAAATGTTCAAAACAAAAATTTACCAGCAGCTGAGCAGTGTCTTGCAAAGAAACACTCTGGTAAGATTTAAACCAAATCCCACAATCAGAAATGCCTCATTTGTGTGTAATCCTGAGGTCACTGGGTAAACCTGAGTTTATGCTTCTGTTTTATCAACCTAGCTCTACTGGTACAGTGCAGTTTCGCTGTTGAGACCCGAAGGCTACAGTAGACTGCCATTCTAGTAAGAGCAACTTCCCCAAACCAAAGTGCACCACACTCACAAAAACCTTCCCTCCACTAGCAACAGGGCAGTAACATGATAGCTGGCATCTGGTAGACTCACCAAAGGGTTTCAGGTCAGCAAGAAAAAACATCTACATTTCATGCATACTGTATATGGACTATATTTTTCATTCACTGTTCATGGGAAAACAGCTGTTTTTGTTAGTTTTTTTTTGAGTCCAGCACATCAAAAAGGGCAGCTCATCTGCACTCAGAGACCAGGACTGCTTTAGACAAGAAAACAGCTCCTTCTCAAGTGAAACCAGTGACACGGGGCAGGGGCAGCTGTTATTCCTGAGAATAGGTGCAGAAAAATGCCAGGCAGTTACTGCACATGCTTGTTGCCTGTTGCAAAGACGAAATATGACTTTGTATCTTCTGTACATGCAGTTTAACCCATGCTCACACCAATGCATACACAGAACTACCGCACCTGAGCTAGGAGTGGGTGACTTTTTAAGATGAGGACATAAAATATTTCTTTTAATGTGATCACAGCTGAATTCAAATGGAAGAGGATTTCAGCCAAAGTGAAATCATCCACTTAATAGATCATTTATACGGAAAAGTTGTGCAAATTCAAGATACCACACACAGTAAAAAGCATGTTATCTGGACCAACGTAGATTTCCCTCCCTCCCTGAGGAGGCACACACCCTAGTTTAAATATGGCCTTATTTCCTGTTCAGTTTATGCTGCTTTGGAATGAAACTAAATATACTGATGATGCCAAATGTGAATGAACATCTTCAGTCAAGAATAACCACCTCCACAAGAGGACTTGCACTGGTGTGGCTGGACGGTCTAAATAAGAAGCTCCTGTGCAAGTCAGGCTCGAAGCTGAGGGGGTGCTTTCAGCCAGGTACTTGTCCAGCAGCAACAATTACCCCGAGAAGGCCTGAGCTGCCTCCGCTGTGCCAAGGATGCAGTGGCTGGGGTCACTGTTTGCCCTCAGGCACAAGAGTCATGGCCATCTGGTGGAGCTTACAAAGGGCCACCTCCCTGCCTATCTCAGTGCTGATCAGACAAGACCAGCCCACACCACAGGACCAGCAGACAAATTTGTAAACATTCTGAACGATGCAAGCAAGTGGGGTGACTTACTGGAACAGTTACCTTTCTTTAGTAACACCACTGTAGCATCACAGTTGCTGTTATCATCCATTTCTGTATTGTTTGCTAATCCATTCACCATATTTGCAGCGTTTTTCGTCTTCCTTTCAAAACAGTGATGTATGGTAGAGTTGTACCTGCACAAATGAAACAAACTCTAGATGTACCTTTTTGCTGCTTCTATGTGGATTTCTTGACACTGCCTTTCCTACACTCAGGTCCTGGTTTCAAGGAAATCTAGGTATAACATGCCACAAATCTAACTGAACTAAATGCAGTGCAACCTCTCTGATTTATCATATTTCAAAGCCTTGTGGGCACAATCTCTAACAATATGCTTTTTTATAAGTAGGCAATATTCCCACAGCAAATAATGATTATACATCATTGTGCTTTTTTAAAAAAAAAAAAATCACAGTCACTCCTGAATATGAGTGCTATTTTACCCGTGGAGGCATACTAGAGAAACACAAGACAACCTGCTAAATTCTGGTCTCAACTAGAAAATTTATTTATTTATTTTTAATCTCTGTTTCTTATCATGTTTTGAGTAGCCAGGTGCTGACATAAACATGAGCTAGGGATCTCCCCACAATACTCAAAGGTAAGGGTGGGCCACTGTGAGCTCCTGGCCAGGGTCCCTAACCAGGCTGACAACTTCACCAGCTGTCTCCAGACATGTCTGAAACATCTGTTCAAACTACAGCATCACTTTTGGGAAAACAACAACAACAACAAAGAACAACAACAAACAAACAAACAAAAAACACAACAGCAAAACAAAACAAACAAGCAAAAAAACAATTATAGATTTAACAGTAAAATTACCTGCTGTGCTGGCCAGTAAATTGTTGCAAGGGTGAACTTACCCTCCACATTAACGAGGAAGTTTCTAATTACTAGAAGTGAGATGAATTCTGACTTTGTTCCCTTTAATCCAGCCTGACTGCTTTGCTGTTCTTAGAATTGCTCTCATAATATTTACTCTGTTCATAATTTCAAAACAAACCTCTACTCTTACTTGTTGAGACAAGACCACTGGCGTGCTTGGCAGCTGGTAGGTTTTGTTTAATGTTCCAGTTTCAATCTGGGTTTCTTTTCCACTGGCTTTTAAAAACAAGGCAGGAGGAGGGGAACCAAACAACAGAACAAACTTCCCTAGCATCAACTTGGGTGAAAGCAGCTACACAGGACAGATGCTTGGAAAATAAGTGTGGGTTGTGCTGCAGTTTTGTCGCGGGTGTCAAAGGAAGGAATAATGAATCACTGTGGGGTTTTGTGCCCCCCCAAAAAGCACAGTGGAATTTTCCACACGTTTGTTTCTGAGCAGGGGTGCTAAAGCAAAGAATGAAGATGTTGTTTTGGTGGGAGTCAGGGATGGATTCAGGCCTCTGCTCTGCCACAGGCTCACTGAGTTAGCCTTGGTCAGTTCACACAGGGTGAGATCCAGACAGCATCATCTACCTGTAGATGTCTGATACTTTGAGCTGTACTATGGGGATAAGCAGCCCCGCCCTGACTCATCAGAATACATGAAAAATAGATACATGACAGGACAAGATGCTTTGTCCCCTGCTGATGGTGGTCCTTCTGGCATGCAAGCTGAGCGATGCAACAGAAGCCCTGACTACAGCACGCTGCCTTTGCAGCCTCTGCAAAAGCACCGAAGCTGGGAGCCTTCCAATCTAAACAAGCCAGGGATGCATTTGACTTACTTCATAATAACGATGTAGATGGCATACATCAGCACCAAGACTAAGGACTCCCACCTGCAAACAAAAGCGACAGAAAGCACATCAGAATGAGGCCCAGTGCCCACTCCCGTCACACCACAGGCACACGGAAAGGCTTGACCCTCCCAGCACGCCTTAACACTGCCCTGGAAGAGGGGATGGGTGAAGAAACAACTCGCATGCCCGAACGCCTGCATTGTTGCTTTGACTTCTGCTCTGGTTTTACTTGGCCAGATCAGTCTGCCAGCTAGAACAGATGACTGAAACCAAGAGTTCTGAGAACAAGCGTGCATCCAAGGAAGATTGACGCTTCTGTAAGGACAACACGTGTAGGACTGCAGCAGAGGGAGTGCAGAGACTGTTCTGCTCAGCAGGTGTGGGTGCAAAGCAGGCTGTGGGGGCCTTCTGAGCATGCTAAAGCACTCTAGTTGTGATGAGATGACCTGAACAAGGGCTGGCTGCTCTTTACTGCTGCTGCACAACCACAGAGCAGGCAGCAGGCAGCAGTTTAAACAACCCATCAGACTGTGATGGTTTCTTCTGCTGCTTCTATGTCAAACTAAAGGAATTTGTGTAAAAAGAGGATAGATTATGACTTTAAACTTGTTCCTAGCCATCGTGGTTTTTTTCTGTCCTTTTTCATTGACCAAAATGCTGTATTCTGCATAGATTACTCTGGCAAACTGCTAGTCCCTGTGGAAATAATCCATTATCACACTGCTACGTACTAAAACTCATGGGTTACCTTCTTTTTAATGATTTTGAAACGTTGCACTAACCATACCAACATCTCATTCCTGGCAGTTCACCACAGCTTCCTCATTGATGTGTTTTGAGTAGAAGGACAGTCAAACACAATTGGGCCTCAAGTCAATTTTAGTTAAACAAAACAAACAAAGAAAAAACATTGCAAAACTCAGTGTTTCAGAAATCCCCCTCTGAAATTAAACATAAATCCCCCAGTGAGAAGGAGTTTAAGAAAACACACAACACAAGAAGCCTGACTCCCCCTAGTGCTTGTAATCTAAACAATGCTGTCTGTGAGTGAAATCAAAGCTACCACTCACTATCCAAGCCCTAAGACGTGCTGAAAATACAATGATCTTAGCAAAACTTTTGATTCCCCCCTTCTCATGAACCCTGTTTATTGCAGCTTTTGTGTGGTAAACAGGAAAATGAACAAGAAAGAAATGGGATCCACAGCTGGATGTACTTACCAAGAAACTTTTTCGTCATAAATAAACTGTGGAGGAAAGATTTTAAAAGAGGCATGTTAGACAAGAAATGTGACAGCGTGCATCAGAGCTGAAAACAGCCCACCACATGAACAAGGGGCATGGGGGGCAGAGCAACCCAGGGCCTGGGCAACAGGATTAGGATCTGGTCTGTTTTCCTCTGAACATTTCAGCTCCCAGTTTCTCTCCCCTAGAAAAGCAGGGTGGTACTTCTTCCCAAATAGCATTGGGTCCTGCAGAACTGGCACTGTTGCAGCACTGAGCAGAAGTGCTTACAAGGAAAACAGAGGTGACCTGGAGAAGGGACAGATACTGCCTCTCCTTTTGAGCTGCTCTTAGGTGGCAACTGGGAAGCAAATACGCAGATTTACAGCCACTTCTACAGCCGGCATGAATGACAGGTGCTCCAAAAAAATTTCTGGCTAAAACTGGCCATGGGACATGATTTCCTAAGAGCTAAGTTATCACCGCAGGAGCTGGATTTAACTGCTGTTATAGTAATTTTAGTACATCTGCAGACCAGTGTTGAAGCCTCCCTCATGATGCTGTGCAAACCTCTTCGGAAAAGAAACGTGTCTTTCTTCTGCATATATAAGATGCCATGTGCTGGGGAACAAACAATGCTGGGGCAGAGAAGTGCAGGGGTATTTGCCCATCTTCGCTTGGCTCCATTGTTTGAGGAGGCAGATGTTAGGAGCTCACCGGTAGATGGCTGCAGTGTTCCACGGCTGGGTACTCTCCCAGCGTACACCCATCACCACCAGCACCTAGGTGCTGGGAGAACAGGGGACTTCCATGGTCGCCTTGCCGGTAGCACCCCTCTTTGCTTCCCCTTCCAGCTCAAGCGGACACCTGTGTGAGGGCTGCTCCAGCTGCCGGTCCCAGAACCAGGGATGCCCAGCCTGGCTCGCCCAATGCATGGGGAGGCCACGGCGGGGAGGCTGGGATGCCTGGCGGGCAGGACAGAGGCAAGGGGCAGCCGGGCAGTGCTAGGATGCCTGCTGCTTGCCACTTGGTCCTGTTGAGGCACCTTTGCCTGCCTGAAGAGGTGGGAAGGCTGTATTTCCACTAGGAAAACACATCCGTGGAAGCGGCACCAGGGAACACCAAGGAAAAGGAAACGAGCTTCTGAAAGTATGGTGAAACACTTCCTTTAAGCTACAGGGCTTGTAAACAGCAACTCCTGTTTGACAGCACGCACCAAATAATAGCTCTATTTGTTACTGGAAAAACACGCGACAGCAAAACATTATGCATGTTATGTCACAGTGCCCAGGCACCATGATCCAACCTGACAACAGCTATTTTAGGTTACAGCATTTTGGTGTGATAGGACACAAAAGCGTGTTGATCTCTGTGATTAAAAATAGCAACAATCACACTTTTTTTCACTAATGACAATGACCACGTCCCTTCAAGGTAAGAAACAGTGGGATCTTTTCCTTTCAAGGGAAATAAGGAGTAACAGTTTTGCCAAGCTCTAAAAGAAGACAGGGATACTTTGTAATATAACAAAAATCATACTGCTAAATCAACATGAGGTAGATGTGATAAGGAGAGTTTATCTGCTTCTCATCTCTGTGATTTAATGTTCACTCATTTTCAACTGGCATGGAGCACCAAACAGGTGAGTTTGCTGCTTTGCCATTTATTACTGCAGCACTGCAATTCCTTTGCTGGTGGAAATGGAAGGAAACAAACCCACATGGATTTACCCAGCAGAATGTTAAACCATTGAATCTCAGTGTTGGCAGGGATGTATTCATTTCCCCTCAGGTGTATTGCTGGTTAGCTTAGATACCCATGGAGCACAACTCATATTAGAGCACCACAAGTTGCTGTTGAAAATAATATGTGAGCAACCTTCTACAAGCAGTATCATTGCTCACGTAAGACAACTGTATTTTGGCTGTAGCAAAGTCTCAATGCCCTGGCATGGCAAATTATCCCTATATAGAAAAGCATTTAAGTGACTCCTAAAATTTAAGGCCTGTACAAGTGTTAGACTGTAAGCGACATCCCACTGCAGAGAATGCCCACTAAGGGCAGGTTTGAGACCACCTCATGAAAGTGAACAGGTACAAGTCTATGGGGCCTGATGAGACGCATCCCAGGGTCCCGAGGGAACTGAGTTGCCAAGCCTCTCTCCATCATATTTGAAAAGTGCTGGCAGTCAGGTAACTGACTGGAAAAAAGGAATCATCAGTCCCATTTTTACAAAGGGTAGAAAGGAGAACCCAGGGAACTACAGACTGGTGACCCTCATGTGAGATGTGAGGACAGAATGGAAGAAGAGTTCATTAAGAACAGCCCTGCAGAGAAGGACTTGGAGGTTCTGGTGGACGAAAAGCTTGACATGAGGTAGCAGTGCATGCTAGAAGCCCAGAAGGGCAACTGCATCCTGGGCTGCATCAAGAGAGGAGTGGTCAGCAGGTGTGAGATACTAAGTTATATTTTTGCAGTAGAGAATTATTTTTCTGTATTCCAAGGTAGTTGTGTAGTCATGGTAAGGAGAAATGCTAAGTAGATAAGTGGACAGTAGAAGGCCTTACTGTTCCAAAATAAGGTAGAAGCTTGATGAAAAACAGGATGAGCAATGTGAGAACAGTAAAACAAAGATCACAAGTTCTCAACACATAAAAAAGGAGAAATTAAAGGGTTGAAAAAAAGAAAAATGGTACATATTTGGTACAGAGGAGCATCGAGTAGCTTGTGAACCTGTAGTACTCAGCCAATGATGAAACAGGGGAAGTGATCAGGTGTTGGGTAATAGGGAATAAAAGGTTATGATTTGTTTACTAAAATGCGCTCCTAATTGACAGGACACCTGCCATTGCAATCGCAAATAAAATAGCTTCACAGAAGATCCTGTCTGAAGAAAATTATTTGCGATGTTTCTCACACAGGTGAAGGGAGGTGATTGTGCCCCTCTGCTCTGCCCTCCTGAGGCCCCTCCTGGAGTACTGCGTCCAGGTTTGGGACCCCCAGCACAAGAAGGATGTGGGGCTGTTAGAATGGGTCCAGGGGAGGGGCCAGAAAGATGATCGGAGGGCTGGGGTACCTTTCCGATTAAGAAAGGCTGAGAGAGCTGGGGCTGTTCTGCCTGGAGAAGATCTAACTGCAGCCTTTCAGTATTTAATGGGATCTCATTAAAAATATAGTGACTTTTTACATGGGCAGACAGTGAGAGGAAAAGGGGGAATGGTTTTAAACTAAAAGACGGGAGATTTAGATTAGATGTTAGGAAGAAATTCTTTACTCAGAGGATGGTGAAGCACTGGAAGGGGCTGCCCAGAGAAGCTGTGGATGTCCCATCTCGGGAGGTGTTCAAGGCCAAGCTGGAAGAGGCCCTGGGCAACCTGATCTAGTGGGTGGCATCGCTGCCTTCGGCAGGGGGTTGGAACTAGGTGATCTTTAAGGTCCCTTCCAACCCAAGTCATTCTATGATTCTATGAAATGAGAAAAGTGAGTTGAAGTTGTGCTACACTCTGCTGTGAGCCAGCAGGGTGTCTCCTAGTGGAGACATCAGGGCTTGGGGAGTCAGTTTTGAATCACAATGTGCTCCCACCTAAATGTGATTCTACCTTAAAAGGAGATGTAAGATCTGAGCTACTGTAAAGCCAGGGGTCCTTGGGTGAATGATGGAGAAGAGAGAAAATTCTTAAACTGAAGCAGTGTTTAGACTCTGAAAGGAAAAATCCACATTTGCTTTCAACTGGGGAACAATACTACATACAGTAGGGGTGGTATATCAGTCGAGTCTTTAACCATATAAAATGTTTTCCCTTCCTCTCATTTTACTCTGTTTTTCTTTAACAGGTGTTTAAAGGACACATGCAATGACTTCTGTTGAGTACCAGTGAAGAGATGTGGGGACCATTCTGCATCTCCAAAGCCTCAGCTGGCCATGATTCTAACATCCAAATAAGAGCTCTGGCAATACCTCCAAGTCTCAAGTTGCACAGTCCTGTCCCGGCTGCACGAAGGACTTTGAATGTCACAGTGTAAAATGAGCACAAGAGTGGGCACAAATCTGGAGAGAAATCCGAGGCTTAAGAAAAAAATAACAGTACCCTGATATAATGGGGTACAGCTCCATGAGAAAAGGATATCTGCAGTTTTCTAACTGTGAAGAACACCTCACACAGAAATAAACTATAGGAGAAAAGTTTTAAGGGTAACAGAGGTGGGTGTTCAATGAGTAGTATAACTTACTCATTACATAGGATATGTAGCTAAGAATTTCAGGGACACACTGGACATGATAAAGAATGGTTCTCAGTGTCCTGAAGCAGTTGACAGTCACGAGGATGAACCAGATACAAGGAAAAAAATCTGCCTTGCCTTAAGAAATTAAAAGCCAATGACAGGTTCAACAACAGATTTTTAACTCACCTGCCTCCACACACTATATGATGCACCCAACACAGACAACAAGAGGCTAAATAAATGGCAGGTAGCTGCCCACATCTGTGCTTCTCCTGGAATAAACTAAGAGAATACCTGCTAGATGTCTTTATGCTTGTGCAATGTAATTTATTACAATTAGTAGGTGTGGTTGAGTTTATTGGTTAGGAACACTTTTTGGCATGATGCTACTTGCCAAGTTGTCAAAGCAAAAAAAAAAAAACAAAGTGTTTTGTTTTGCAGCCCATTACTAACAATTATTTAGCTTTTATTCTAGCAACCATATTGATGCATGCATTAGATTGAAGACAAGTTCATCGGGTGCAAAACGGCTGACCTTGCAGTAAGCAGAATAAAAGTACAAGCAGGTTGAGGCAAACCCTCTGAGATAGTACCTACAGAATACATACAAGGCATACACACATGATGAGTGAAGGCAAAACAAAGCACAGTGTTGAAACTGTGACTAAGAAACATTGCATGAACTTCAGAAATGCAAAGTGTCCATCTTCTGACTCTAAACTTCCCTTCTTCTTATTTACATAAGGAAGTTAACTTCACAAAATCACTTTCTTAGGGAATGTATGGCCCTAGACTACATGCCCAAACAAATAAACAACAAAGAAAAGTAGTAACTGTTACCAAAAAAGTCTATTTTTGCACTTCCTACTTTGGTATTTATTGCAAAGATAATGCTATGGCACTGTCTTGTACATGCATTTTTCATTGTATAGCTCAACTTTCAGAGTTGTTGGGTATTTACTGAACTTGGTGGAAGCTGGAATCAGAGTAGCACTATGAGTTAGTGGAACTGTAGCCTTCATTACAGGATTTGCTGTTAGCATGCACTGTACAAGACCTTGCCCCCAGTTACACATTACTTTAATGTTTTGTAGTTGTTGAGGATCTCTGTCCTCTGGGCACAAACGCTGCCTCCTTACAGGTCAGTTAGATACTTCTTGCAGCAGAGCCAGAAGGAAGTTGTGAGAGTCACTGTCTGCAGAGAACAGAGCGACACATCTTCTTCAGTTGGGCTGCAGCATGGGTTTTCAGCTCTGCGGCCCACCACTGTACTAGGACTGGGACATGCTTCCCCCCAGCTGTTGCTGCAGCCTCTATGGACATTTCTCCATCTCTTACCCTTGGGCCATGCTTTCCTACAGAATGAGCGAGACCACAAGTACATTTTTCCATAAGAAGAGAACCACGTGGCTCCTGGAGCTACGATCTCAGCTACAAGACTATGGTTTCTTGGTGGGTTCCCTTTACAGGCAGCAGTAGACATGTGGGCTCCCAAAGAAGAATGACATGTACAATTGCCTTCAAAAACTTACCACAATGAGTGCAACAACAGACAGTGTATAGTAGATTGAATCTCTCAGGAGACTCCATGACGACAGTGCAACAACCTGGGAAAACAGGCAAAGAAAGGATGTCAACCAGGCTCTTACCAGCACAACTGCCATGTCAACAGCAAGTGCCATGGTCAAGCCTGTCACTCGGTGAAAGCTGTCCCCGTGCACGCTTGGACACGGTGAGGAGATCGCAGGTATGAGATGAACTGGCTTTCTGAGACTGCTGGTGGAATAGCTGCTAGGGTGGGATGGCCAAACCTGAAGAGCAGTAAGTGCAAGGTCACAGACACACAAAATCAAAGAAGTGGTGTCAAACCAATGGAAAGGGTAATCAAATCCCATGTATTTATGGATGACAGAAATGAGCCTGGGAGGCTACAGACACCCTTTTACCCTGAAAACCCTGCCCTGCGTCAGTGCAGCTCCCACCACTGAGCCAGCAGTAGCAGTCCCTGCAGGCTGAGCTGCTGCCAGGGCTGGCACACCGTGTCACAGAGGAGGCTGCACGTGCTGCTGCTGCTGCTCGGGCAGCAGAAGGGGCTCGGCTCTACCAGCAGGGCAAAGAAAGTCAGCACTGTGTCAGTGTCACTGTGTCAGTGCCGACATCCAGAAGTGAGCATCCCAGCTGAGAATGGTCAAAGAGATAATAGCCCAACCAGGCCTACAGGACAGGATGTCCACTCTTTCCGCTCCCACCACCATATTTCTATTAATTTTCCCCAGCCTGGCAGTCCTGTCTTCCTTGGGAGGAAACCATCCTGAAATGCTGAGCAAGAGCTCCAGGTACATGAAAGTGCAGTACATAGGGCAGCCCCCAGGTACTGCTCAGCAGCACACACACTCCCCAGCACACCCCTACCCCACATGCCTGTGTCTGCCAAGAGTCCAGACGCTGGAGCCTCCTATGCTGGGTTTCCAGGAAACTGCAGGCTGCTGGATTTTACACTGGGCTTGTTCTTGTGAAAAATAATAATTGAATAATAATTCATTCACGGGAAGGAACAGAAGTGGCGCTGCAGAATGGCTATCTGACAGCATGGAGCAGCCAGACCCCCAGCACAGCGCTAGCCTGAGCCTCTGCAGAGCCACGGCTTTGCCTGCTGGTCACGGGCATTGCTGCAGTTCTGGGCATATTTGCACAGGATTTGGGACAACTACTCAATCGTCCAGCAAATCAGCACCTTAAGATCAAAATCCAAGTGATTTATAGGCAACAGAGGATAAAACAGGATTGCTGTGCAGTTCATTTCATTTGACACCTTTCAGAACCAAAGAAATGAGGAAGAACTGTCATTGTAGGCTGAATGAGACTGGAATTCAGATATTAGAGGATGTAACACCAGTGAGACAGTTAGCCTTTAACTTCATTACAGGCATTTGAAAGGGCCGATGAAAAGCAGTCATGTGATGGTAACATTTTCAGTATGCCAAAACTCTGATTACAGTTTTGGCAGTGCTGGGAAGTCCCCCACTCTCAGTACAAAATTATCCTCAAATCTTTATTTTTCATTTCCACAGTGCATTTCAAACATCATTGGTCACATTCTTCCCAAGTGTAAACCACATGGGAGGTGGCTAAATTACACTGTTCTGGTTTGATCCCTAAATGTAAAAATTAATTTTCTGACAACATCCTCCAGTCTTGTTCATGCATGAAATCAGCCAAACAAACAGGAAGTTCATTCTCATTTCTATCTATAGAAAGATCCTATTTCAGAGTGCTTGCAAAAAGTAGTTTCCCAGATTTCTCTGCTTATCAACTCTTACAGTAGTGGAACTTTCCTGATTGCTAGCAAAATAAATACTTAAGATACTGAACATTATACTTTAAAATCTCTGTTCTATGACCTCTTAACACTTAAAGTTAAGTGTAATTTATGCCAAGAGTAAAGCCTCTTTGTGCAAATATTGACAGTAAGAAACTCTTACAAAAATCACAAACCAAACCAACCAATCAACCAACCAATCAAAAAAAAAAAAAGAAAAAAAAGACAACAACAACAAAAACCCGGCCTTTAAAGTCCTTGAGTCAGATTACATTTATACCAGCTGACAATGAATATCTATTCATGTAAGAATAGATAAATGGCAATGATTTATCATGGAAATTTCCAAATGTAGAAACCTGGAGTTAGGTGCATAGTTCTGTTCAGAGACCCTTCATTAAACATTATGGATAGTTGGACTCCTTCCTTTTGATTGAGCAATTTTTGTAAGAGAGTTTATGAAATGATTTGATATTATTCCAGTCAGCTTTACAATGCTATTTAAGGTCCTATGCGCCTTTCTGAGCACAGATGCTGGTGGAGCTTTGATAGCTATAAACTTTAGATGTGCATAATAGAAGTTTTAACAGTTCTGAAACAAATGACTACAGGACAGTAAATCCCAAATGAGCAGGTTTGCTGGTAACCGTAGCTATTTATCTAATTAAACACTCCTTTGGTTATAAGGGGTGTCACCATACAGCAGAGCATACCACTAAAAGCAAGATGTTGCAGTTACCATGAGTTAAGCTAGAATCTCTCCTGTTCTTTGACATTCTACAATAGTCTTGAAGGTAGTCTGTATTTTTCTCCCAGTGATTTTTCCTCAGACACCTGAGTGAACACATTAACACCCAGGCCCTTAAATACAGCTATCATTCAGATCTGAGTGAAGGCACTTGTACAAACTGCTCACGTTTCAGACATCCTAGAAGCTCTCCCTGATGCAGTAAATATGGGCAATTAAATCTCGGGTCTCCTTAGGGTGAGCCATTTAACTGAAGCCTTTGAACCATTTGATCACGGGGAAGAACAATCTGATATAAGGAAGCTGTGTGCATAGGGTAACCACACACCCAGGGTAAAAGGAGCTAATTAGTTAGCACTGAGAGAAATGGCAGCCCTTTCAGCCTGCTGACAGGGATCTCGTAGTTTCATTATAACTGTCAAGACCTTGAACGCGCAAGTCGTGCTATATATTCTTGCTGCAGCCAAGGACTGCATGTAAATCTTAATGCATTGGAACCCTCCTAACTCACAGTTTAGCAGATCATGACTAAGGCAGAAAGGAAATCAGGGAAGCAATAAGCTTGGGTAAAAATGTGATGAGATTTAGAGTTTTAAATCAGAAATACTGTAAGCCAGAGGACAGCTGGTCTTCTGGGAGCGGAGCACCAACAGCCAGCTGTAGAAAAGCACTGACTGTCACGTTGCACATTTCCTGCATTCAAAGGAAGTACCTGAAATTCAAACCCCAGACAAGAGCCCAGTAGCCTTCACTGAACTATGACACTGGGGACTAAATGTGGCATCTCCACAGCAGAAAGGAAGAGCTCTTCTGTTCAGGCTTCAATGAGAGCAATTGCCTGTGATCCAGGCACAGAGAAGGACCTATGGCTTGCACTCACCTGCATGCTGCAATACCACTCTGAAGGGTAAAACATATCCTGTATTAGCAACTGGGTTTCTCATTGATAAACTCTCACCCTGCACACTCTCATGTATGGCATTTACTACTCAAATGTTTATTTCCCTTTCTGAAGGGCTGGAGAGCAGAAAAATCACTATTTGATTGGTTCCAGTTTGACTTCTGCGGTTCTTAATTCCTGAACCTGCAGCCTCATGCAGCACACACAATTTCCTCCATTTAGTGCACATGCAGAGATAACCAACCAGGGAGAAAAATCACTGAAGACAGAACAGACAGCTGCTGTGCTTGGCACCTAAGTTAGTGCAGGGTGCCCAGAGCCTCAGTGGCAATGTACCCCAGCTCAGGGCTTCCCCAGTCTCCCTCTGTGAAACTGACCCTTCTTCTCTGCTCTTCCAAATGACTTCCCTCCCTTTAACAGAACAGAGGCTCCTCTCACTGCGTTTCCCATCCAGGAAAGACCTGTCAACAGAGGCCATCCAGCTGGCTCTTTCAAATCCTATGTGCCTGCCCTCCCTATTATCTATGACATGCCTGAGAGGAAGCATGTGATGCCAAACATGGGTGCTGCTACCTTGCCATTTCCTGCAGGACAGATAAGGGAGTGAAAAGACAGAGAACTCAAGGCTGCAATTCAGCATTGCAGAATGCTCTAGAGAGAGCTCCACCTGGGCACAGACACTGCAAGTTGACCTGTAGCAAGGGGAGGTACCTGGGCATGTTTTCGATGTCACCTGCTGCATGATGCTCCAAGGAAATGAGCACAGTATAGACTGCAAATACGTACAGACATCATATGTACAGGCTGTGTAGATGTATACATATCATTCCAGTGGGTCATTTCATGAAGAGAATTACCTGCAGTCCACTGTGAAATCCTTATCTATTAATGGGCTTCAGTGTCATTAATTGCATTGGTAACAATAGTGATATTAGTTGAGGTTTAATTTTACTTGCTCTACATGAATATAAACAGCAGATAAGCTGCCCTCATAAGACAGCAGCTCTAACTGGAGAAGTTAAAAAGACCCCTCAGATTTCATGCTGCCCTGGCACCTGCCATTCTGTGGGGAAAAACAACAATAAAAAACACCAAAAAAACATTTATTTCTGCCTATCCTGACAGCAGCCTGGGAAATTCTGACTTCTGAGAAGCTGAATATCACTGGACTGTCTTTGGTGAATCTGTCACAGGCCTTGCCCTCTGCGACAGCCCTCGGGGAAACTTCCAGGTCTAAACTTCCCTTGACAAAGCACAGGCTCTACCTTTTAACTTCGCAATTTATTATTTCAGGAACTTATTTCTCAGCTCAAGTAATTACAAGGATCCTGCCACCCACCTGTTCACCCTCACTGGTCATGATATCAATGAAGCATCACATATTAAAATGAGATAGTGGCACTGCCTTATTTATATTCATCTTTATATTTAAATAGGCTATACATTCATCTATGACTTTAAACAAGAAGCCACTGGAGAACCTCTGTGCACTTCCTGGGAGATATCTCCCCCCCATCTGTTATACTGAAGAGCAGTGTCAGTCTGGAGGGGGAGGTATTCACTTGGGATGAAGCAATGTAAGAGTGATTCCTTATTCTGCTCCCAGCCCTACAGCTTAAGCTTGGATGAATTACATAAG